CTGGTCAGTTTCATGCTCAAAACTGGTCAGTTTCATGCTCAAAACTGGGCATATCAGCCATTTATTTAATGAGAAAGTGCCTGTAGATCCTTGCAGCAGCTCACATATGGAATGGATTGAAAATGTCCTAAATGAGCATATAAATAAAATTCTACTGCATAGATGAATCTTTAGATTTAGGCTTTACAATTTAAAAATGAAGACAGTGTTCTCAGATTTTATTATGTCTTGGTTTTAATTTTTGGGAAATGCTCTATAGTCCCCAAATATTATTCTTGGTAACTTAACAGTAATAGTTCACCTGCTAAGAAAAGCCAGGAGCTTTTTCCTTTTATTGGGAAAAAAAAAGAAACCTTTACTTGCATTAAATGCCACTGAAAATAGGACTTACTTTCTTTAAGAACTCTTTTTTTCTGAAAAATAGAGCACAGGCGAATTTACATGAATGTTCATGTATCAGGCAGACAGCCTTTCCCCCCCATCTCTAGCCACCCTCCTCCCTTGCTCAGTCCTTTCTTTTTCCTTGGCACTGAAAACAACAAACCCATCCAGTCGCAAAAGACCCAGTCCCCTCTTGCCTCCAAGTGATCTTGTCCCATCCAGAGGTCTTCCTGGAGGACCACCCACCAACCATAATTAAAGAGTTGTTCACACACCTCAGTGCTCAAGGATATACAAAATCATATTTGTGGCCATCCGAGGCAACTGAAGCTAATTTTGCTAGAATTTTATTAAGTTGCTTGTGATTCATTAGAACCAATTATTGCAAACATTATTCTGGCAAAAAATTAAACATGCTATGGAAACCACCATGCTTACAAAGAGCGGTTCATTTTCACTGAAAACCCTATGCCTTCCATGCATAAAACTAACATGTCCACATTTCAGTAGCAATATCACAAAATACATATGAAAACCAAATCTGATTACAACTAAAACCAGTGAGTCTTAATGATAATTAGGTCTCTCTTATTTGGTGAACTGCATCAAACAAAACAGGGTCATGTTATAATACAAATATTTTGCAGAGCTTAAGTTTGGGAAAGTTGGGTATTGTTACCTGTATAAAGGGATTTGATATAAACTATTTTTGTGTAAAGATGCAGCTAATAAGCACCACTATATTAATATATGCTAGTTTACATCATTCACTTTGCTCAGAAATAGGCTGTAATGTTGCACAACCAACCAACTCCCATTGCACCTTCATAAGTTTCTTTGATCTGTGTAGGAATGAGAATTTCCACACACAGTCCAGAGGAACCAGCTCTCTGTGCAGCCATTCATAGCTAAACAACAACAGGATAAGAAGAAAAACACTGTAGGATTGAATTGCCATTGTTGCATTCTTTCTGCTATTCTCTAAACTATTGCAAGAAATTAACAATTCTTTGGAAGCTTGAGAATAAGCAAACTTTCTTTTCCAGGGCTAAATCAGGTGATGGGACTGCCCATTTGTTCCTCAAAAGTATTTACATCCACAGCAGGGAGAACTATACACTGGAGTTAATATAAATGTCACAATTTTAGTACTGTCATATACCATTATTACAAGTCTTTTTAAAAACATCTTTATTGCTCATGTTTTAACTGTGCCATTTCATAGCAGCTTGCTTTCTTTTTAATTTGCAAAACCAGCACTTTTTATATGTATTTTTAAAAAACAGATAAAATCAAAGAAATGAGTTTTAATGTTAACAGAACACATTGTTTTGGGTGCACAAAGTAGAGTGTCTTGTGTAATGTTGATGCAAAGCACTTTGGGAAGAGAAGAAGGTGTATGGAAATGTGTTTTCTATCAATCTTAGAATTTTTGTACATATTTTTATACACTCCTTTATAGAGAGTTGAATTCCTTATACCATGTTGTATATCTGGCTGATTTTGCTATAGTTGGCATCTATTTGTTGTATATCATATGCCCTAAAAAGAATTAGTGTGACTTTTTCTATTAATATGTATGTTTTGTGATTGGTTACAATTAATTTTCATATAATGGTAAGTTATTTTTTGCCTTATTTCATGAAGTCTTTTTTTTTTAATACGAAAGGTGAAATGAAGGGTTTGTGCACATAATAAACACAATAACATGAAACTGAAAACCTGTAACACACCAACCTGACTCAAAAACCTTATTTCAAGATCTGGTTTAAAAATAAAGTTTACCTGACCATTACATTTCATCACAGGGACTTATCATTATTTAGCTCATTTATATAATTAGAAACATACAGTAAAGGGAAAAAGAGGGAAAAGAAAGAAATGTGAGGTATATCTTAAAAGTGTTTTGAGCAAGGGTTAGGATAGTGTCTAACAATAGCTATAAAATTCAAATGGGGAGGAAGAACTCAAAAGGAGAAAAAAGGAAAGCCTTTTTAAGTGATTGACACTTTGGAAAAATATATGCATAAAGTACAATGGTGTGTTATAGTGTTCAGATTTTCTGCACACAAACACCCATGCATGTGAGTATATTTTTATGCTGCTGCTCCTCAGGTGATTATTGTCTACCTATTAGAGAGAGAGAGAGATAGAGAGAGAGGTGTTCTGCCCTGTGTATGACCTTCATGAGAGAATATAGTATTGGGCTATTAGAATGTTCTTCTAAGCTCATGCTTTAAACAGTAACTAATATACTAAAAGAAGCATTTGCCTGAGGCATAACTTCCTAGATTGCAGAAAGCTTCATCATCTTAGCAGAAGAAAGCTGGGATTTGGCATGATAGAAAACCCTCCATGAGACACCCTGCATTTGTTTCTCATGTGGATCTGAAGCCATGCCTGGATATGCCCTTGGCTTCATACATCTTGGACCCGTCTGCTTAGAGGTAAGCCTTCTTGTTTCCAAGAAGGGTATGTTTGGGAAAGGATGAACAAAGCCTACCAAAATAGTTGGTCTCATGAGGATCCTATCCTTGTGCTTTCTTCAGGATCGTAGCTGAATTGCAGTCTGCATAATCTTCCCCTTTAAGATAGTAACAAAACCCAATCCTTAATATTTCCTTTAGCCTTATCTCTGTCACTATAACCACATTTTATCTGATAATTTTAAACATTGAAATACACTGGTCATAGTGCTTAAAAAATGGGGGGGGGGGGACCACCACCATTCACAGACAAACCTAAAC